GAAGGAAAGAGAATGCAAATAAGTTAGAAAGGAAAAAACAAAACTGTCTCTCTCCACAGTTGATATAATTAACTACAAAGAATGTCCAAGAATCTGCAAAAAGCTTCATTCAAAAACTAGTACGTGAGTAAAATAGGTTGCAAGATGCATGCTCAAGATGGAAAAATCTATTGTACTTCAATATATTAGTAATAAAGAATTAGAAATTAAGTTTTTTAAAGCATCATTTATAATAACAATACTTTATAATAAATGTAACAAAACATAGCACGACCTCTATGTTGAAAACTACAAATCAGTGATAAATTTTTAAAAATGATCAAGTAAAAGATCTCTATGAATTAAGTCAAACTGACTTTGACATTAAATCCCATTCTCTTAAGTGCTACATTATCCAATTTGTCTCTCTTGAGTAGCAAAAACACTTTGTGAGGCTAGGTAGGTACTGTTATTTCCGTTTTATAGAGTAAGCTGGAGCTGCTATGGTCTAGCACACACACTCTTAGGTATGTATGTACTCATGGAAAATAAAAACTTGTGTTCACACAAAATCCATACGTGAATGTTTCTTGCAGCTGTATTCATAATCACCAAAAACTACAAGTAACTAAACTCAAATGCCCTTCAATGAGTACAATGAACAAACTGTGGTATATCTATTAACATGGAATACTAATCAGCAGTAAAAAGGAGTAAACTACTGATACACGTAATGAATCTCAAAGGCATTATGCTGAACAGAAGAAGCCAGGTTCAAAAGGTTACATATGGTATAAGTATACATGTGGGACAGTCTCAAATGGAAAAATGTATAATGGCAGAGAACAAATCAGTGGTTGCTGAGGTTAGGGATGAGGAGAGATTGTGACTACAAAAAGTTAGCATCAGGGAGTTATTCAGGGTGACAGAACTGCTCTGTATCCTGATTTTGGTGGTGGTTACATGAATCACATGTGTTCAAATTTATAGAACTGTACACCAATTTTAAAAGTTAATTTTACTCTATTTTAATTTAAAAATAGAATCTAAAAAAACCAACTAATAGCAAACAGAAAAACTAAAGAAAAAAAAATGAGATACCACAACCACCTACTAGAAGAACTAAAATTAAAGACTGACCATACCAAGTGTTGATAAGGATGTAGGACAACTAGAAATCTCACACACTCCTGGTGGGAAGGTAAAACGGTACCACCACTTAGACAGTTTCTTAAGAAGTTAAACATACACCTAACAAGTTGACTCAGCCATTCCATTTCTAAATATTACATCAAAAGAAATAAAAGCATATGTCCATACAAAGACTTACACATGAATGTTCATAATTTATTTCTAATAACCCATAACTAGAAACAACCCAAATATCTATGAACAGGTGAATGGATAAACAAATTATAGTATATACATACAATGGAATATTACTCAGCAATAAAAAGAAATAAACTACTGATAAACACAAAAACATGGATGAATCTCAAAATAATTATGCTGAGTGAAGAAACTAAAAAAATAAAAAAAGAAAAGCAGAATATGTGCTGTAGGCTTCCATTTAAATAAAATTCTAGCCAGGCGCGGTGTCTCACACCTGTAATCCCAGCACTTTGGGAGACCAAGGCAGGCGGATCACAAAGTCAGGAGTTCAAGAGCAGCCTGACCAACATGGTGAAACCCCGTCTTTACTAAAGATACAAAAAGTTAGCTGGGCAGGGTGGCGCACATCTGTAATCTCAGCTACTCGGGAGGCTGAGGCAGGAGAATCACTTGAACCTGGGAGGCAGAGGTTGCAGTAAGCCAAGATCGCGCCACTGCACTCCAGCCTGGGCGACAGGGTGAGACTCCTGTCTCCTTATTTATTTATCTCAAAATAAATAAATAAAAACAAATAAATAAAAATTCTAAAAAATACAAACTAATGTATAGTGTCAGAAATCAGATTAGTGCCTGTCCATGGAAGCAGAAGCATAAGGCAGGACTAGAAAAGGGCACACACAACAAATTGTGGATAGTGGATATGCTAATTTTTTTTTTTTTTTTTTTTTTTTTTGAGACGGAGTCTCGCTCTGTCGCCCAGACTGGAGTGCAGTGGCGCCATCTCAGCTCACTGCAAGCTCCACCTCCTGAGTAGCTGGGACTACATGCGATGGCCAACTCACCCGGCTAATTTTTTGTATTTTCAGTAGAGACAGGGTTTCACCGTGTTAGCCAGGATGGTCTGGATCTCCTGACCTCGTGATTCACCTGCCTCGGCTTCCCTAAGTGCTGGGGTTACAGGCGTGAGCCACCGCGCCCGGCCAATTTTCTTGACTGTGTTGACGGTCTCACAGATACTACATATGTCAACTTACCAAATCATACATTTGAAGCATTGGCCATTTTTTGGTCAATTCTACTTCAATAAAACTCTCAAAATGCAATTGCAATTATGTAAGAAAATATACAAATGAGTGAGAATATGTAAAAATAAAATATTCATGTTATTTTAGCATAGACATGGCTGTTATTTTGAAACTTCAATGATATTGTATCTCTATAGAAATGAATGATACAAACACTGGTATAAATGTATTTTTTTGTTGTTTTTTGGGGTTTTTGTTTTTTTCTTTTTTTTTGAGATGGAGTCTCACTCTGTCACCCAGGCTGGATGGAGTGCACTGGTGTGAAATCGGCTCACTGCAACCTCCGCCTCCCAGGTTCAAGTGATTCTCCTGCCTCAGCCTCCCGAGTAGTGGGGATTACACCCGCATGCCACCATGCCTGCCTAATTTTTGTATTTTTAGTAGAGATGGGGTTTCACCATGTTGGCCAGGCTGGTCTGGAACTCCTGACCTCAGGTGATCGATCCACCCTTGGCCTCCCAGAGTGCTGGGATTACAGGCAAAAGCCACCGCACCCAGCCATAAATGTATTTTTTAATGGGCAAAAGATTTGAACGATACTTCACCAAAGATCTGTAGATAGCAAATAAGCACATGAAAAGACTGTCAACATACTCAGGCATTAGGAAAATGAAACTTAAAATCACAATGAGATACCACTATACATCTATCAAAATGGCTAAAATAAAAATAAAAACACACCCAAAAATCGGATAATACTAAGTGCTGGTGAGGGTGTGGAAACAACTAGAATTTTAATGCATTGCTGACAGGAATACAAAATGGTACAACCACATTGAAAACCAGTTTGGTAGATTCTCATAAAGTTAATCATACACTGATCACACAACTCAGTAATCCCACTACGAGGTATTTACCCAAGAGATATGAAAACTTACGTTCACACAAAATCCTGTATGGGAATGTTTGTAGAGGCTTTTGTCACAATCACAGAAACTGGAAACATCCTAATGTCCTTCAGCTTGTGAACAGATAAACTGGCAAACCTATACAATGGAATACTACTGAGCAATAAAAAGGAACAACTACTGAAACATGGATGAATCTCAACTACATTATGCTATGTGAAGCAAGCCAGGCTCAAAAGTCTAAATCCTGTATAATTCCATTTATATGATATTCCAGAAAAGGCAAAACTATAGGCCCATAAAACACATCGGTGGTTGCCAAAGGGTGTGGGAATGAACTACTAAGGAGTTAGAGGAAATTCTGATGGTGATGGAATTATTCTATTACTTGAATCCAGTGATGTTACTCTGTACTTATTTGTCAAAAACCATAAAACTGTACACCATAAAGGGTGAATGTTACTGTATGTAAATTATATTTCAATTTTTAAAAAACTCAACGTGACAGTTTGCATATTTTTTTAATTTTACTGACAACTTATGGAAAAGAAACATCTCTCTGCTTGCAATCTGTCAAGAAATACTTAACACCATGCTAGGTTCTTTGTAGGCTTTTTGTGTGTGTGTGTGTGAGACATATTCCCTGCCTGACAAAGGAGCTCACTGGGGAAACAAGACTAAATATTAAAATAAGTTACAGAAAAAGGCTAGGCAAAAAAAAATAAATTAATAAATTGAGTGATAAATCACAGAATACATTTTATATATGTGGGAAATGAATGGCACATAATTTTGGAAAAGTCTTAGTGCTTCTCAACATTACTGATCTTATATTATCTCTAATTTTCAAGTGAGGATGATGAGACTTGGAGAGGACAAGTACTTTTTCCGTGATTCTCGAGCTATCAGGTGTCAAAGCTGAGATTCTAACCCACCCCTTTTCGCCCAAAGCCTGACATCTTCTGCCTGCGGCGATGGAACAACAGAAAAGAGGTTACGACGGCGGCTACACAGTGTGATTTCAATGGACAGCAACGCCTCCTTAGTCCCCAAACAACTCGCTCAACTACTTGGCACGAATCCTACACAGAAACACCATGATTAGTGCCAAGTTTCTTAAATTGAGCTCAACGGGGTCTTGGAATGTAAACTCCAGAGAAAGGAATCAGCGAGCCTTATGGGGATACGGACCCACTTCTGACAAGTCTTGGTAGTGAGGAAGGCGCATGGGGCCAGCGCCGGAGCCAGGGTGCCACCGAAAAGGGTAAACACCAAGAAAGAGAACACCCGAGGCCCTGAAGATACTCCTCTTCAATTACACCACTCAGCTCTGGGTCACAAGGCGGGGCACAGCGTACGAAAAACCTCTTCCCTTGCCCTTCCTAGCCCCTTTGGTGAAAGATTTGCGTGGACTTTTCCCCGCCTCCGTCGCCGATCCAGGGCTAAAACTGAGGCTCCTCTACCGGCGTGGCTGGGAGGAAAGTGATGTGTGCCTTAACAGCGCGAGCAGCCCGGGGCACGCCGGGAGAAAGCGCTGGGTCGTAGGGACCGCGGTCGCACGAGGCCGGGCCAAGGCGCCCAGAGCCGGGCCGGGTAGGGCTCCGATGGCAGAGTGAAGGGGTCGACAGGGGCCAACGAACTCCAGAAATTCCCTCCAGTGACACCCTAAGTGTCTCATGATGCGTTAGTTGACTAGGGGCTCTCACTTTTCCCTCCTTTACTGACCACGCAATCGCTGCCCTCGCCCCCTCCTCACCTCTCCAGTTCGTGTACTGCGGGATGCAGTAGTATTTGTTCCCGAATTGGTCCGTGCCCACGTGCTCCTTCACTTCCCTTGACAGCGATCTCCACAAGGCGCGGAACAAATCCTGAGACCAACCCATGCCGTCCACCCAGTTTCCAGCGCTGCCAGCAGCAGGATCCGCAGTAGAAGCAATGCTCCAGCACCCAGTGAGCTCCAGCTCACTGAAGCGAAGAGGTCAGGCCGGCCTCCATCCTGGAGCCCTTCTAGTAACGGCGCTCACCATTGGCCGGATATATCACCGCCTGACCAATGGGAGACTCTGCTGTTCCAGTCCCGCCCCTGAGTTCTGTCATGGCGACGTCCAGTACTCCAGCCGGTGTGAGGACCCGCTATGCTGGGGTTTTTGTCCGCGCGACAAACGGGTTTGGAGGACCCTCTTCGCCTTCGGAGAGCAGAGTCAACACGGAGGTAAAGAAAACCTTACTTTTTGGCTAACAGGCCAGTTAGAATCTGGACCAATAACTGTAAACTTTGCCCCACACTTTCCGGTCTCATCGCTCTCCTGCCACCAAACTCTTATTTACCCTCTAATGCGTTGTGGCTTGCGAAAATAGGATCCCTTTTATTTACTGGTAACAACTTGCAGGCGAGGGGCGGCGCCGGGCGGGGGTGGGGGGGGGTTCGCCCGCGGGCTCAGATGAAGATATTATAAACCTAAATAAGGATACTTCGTTGTACTGTATACCTTCTCTCTTAAGTTACTGGTAAGAATAACTGCCCTCCAAGTACTCGTTCATTCATTCAGTCTGCATATTTAGTGAGTTCCTACAGTGTGTCAGGCAGCCTATTAAAAAGGCAGAGGACACAGGCCAGGAATTGAACAAAGTTCAGAATGACTAGAGCGGAGAATTGGGGTAGGGACCATTGACAAGAGATGAAGTAGACAGAAACTGAATGAGAAAGAGCCATGGGTACTTGGGTAGAGGTGTGAAGATGAGAATAAGGTAACAGCTATTGCATTTTGTTTTCTGCTTGGAGAATGGGTTGCAACTGAGAACAACAGTGGTAGCCAAGTTAGGTAACTGTTGTGATTACACTTGTCCGGGAGAGAGTTGATGGAAGCCTGGGCCACAGAGTTCCCAAGTAGAATAAAGATAGTGGAGACATTTGAAAAACGTCTAAGAAATAGAATCAGCAGTCCATGGAAATTGATTGGATACGTGAATGACGAAAAGGGAAGAATGATTAATGATTCCCAGATTTATGTCTTGTATAAGAAGTTGAATGTTGGTAATATACTCTGAGAGAGGGTTTTCCAAAGGGAAGAAGCAAGTTTTACTTTTAATTTTGCCCACGTTAATTGAGGAACCTTTGAAGATATTTACTTGGACAGTGGAGAACACAGTTGCATATGAGTTCTGCGTTCCGGAGAAATTTAAATATTAGTTTCCAACATTTTATCTGTTACGTTTTCAGTGTTGTGAAATATCTCTGAGAATTCCTTTAATGTGTTTTTTTGCCAGTGTCACTTCCTCTGACACATCATCAGCCTTTCATCACAACCACTTTTCCTCATTTATGTCTGTAAGTTCACCTTCACTGATTTCCTCAGTCTGCATATCTAGAATGTTTCAAATGGTGGCAGTGTCATTGTTCCCACAATCAGCATGTTCCCACAGGCAGCTATTTTTTTCATTTGCTCCATTTTATGTTTAATGCAAGTTTCACTTCTAGTATTGTCACTCTTTCAATGCATTTTCATTCTTTTGGCCAATTTCCTCTTTTAATCAGTAAAATTCCATGTGGGCTTATCTTAAGGGCACAGAAATATTAATAACAAACCTACGGGCTTTGCAGCCTGTGTGTGAACTTAATAACAGATGCACACTGACCAATCACCCACAGACTTTGAAAGAAGTAAAATTGCAAATAGGTCACTAATTTTGATTCATTTATGTAATTACAGAAATGTTATTTATGTAATTATTTGTGGACTGAAAAGCTAGTAGCAAACTTTTATGCTATTTCTCACAGTTAACAAACTGTGGTAACTGAAATTCATATCAGACTGAGCCAAGTGAGGATTGCTTATATGTTTAAGACAAAGTATAATTTTTTTTTTTTTTTTGAGACAGGGTCTTGTTCTGTCACCCTGGCTGGAATGCAGTGGTGCAATTACAGCTCACTGCAGCCTCGACTTTCCAGGCTCAAATGATCCTCCCATCTCATCCTTCTAAGTAGCTGGGACCACAGGCATGTGCCCACACACCTAGCTAATTTTTAAATTTTTTGTAGAAATGAGGTCTCCCTGTGTTTCCCATTCTGGTCTTAAACGCCTGGGCTAAGTGATCCTCCTGCCTTTGCCTCCTAAAGTGCAGGGATTTTATGTGCGAGCTACCATGCAGCCTAAAATTTTTTAAAAAATATTTCCATCATTAAGTGATGTTTTTGCTTAATTGAACAACTGTATAGTTCTATTTTACTCATAGGAGATGTCTACTGTTCTTCCTTGTCATCACATAAGGGCAAAAGCATGAACACTGATATGCAGTGTTCACAATTTACACCCTCTAAAAAAATTTTACAACTTTATTGAGGTATAATTGACATATGATATACTGCACATTAAATGAGAATATACAATTTGATGAATTTTGACATATATTTACTTTTGAAACCATTACCATAATCAAGAGAACATCCATAACCCTAAAAATTTTTTCATGGTCCTTTATAATCCTTCTCTCCCTTCTTTCTCTGCTTTACCCTCTTCCTTCTCTAGAAACCACTAATCTGCTTTAGGTCACTATAGTTTGCATATTTAGAATTTTATATAAATGGAATCTTTTTTGTCTGGCTTCTTTCACTCAGCATAATTACATTATTTTGAAATTTCTCCATGTTATTGCTTGTATCAATTCCTTTTTATTGCTGTGGAGTATCCCACTGTGCAGATATACCATAGTTTATCTAGTCACTTGTCGATGGACATCTGAGTTGTTTCCGGTTCAGGACTAATACATTTACAGCTGCTCTGAAAACTCACGTATGAGTCATTGTATGAACATATGCTTTTATTTCTCTTAAGTTGATGCCTAACAGTGGAGCTACTAGATATATCCTTTACATTTTAAGAAACTGACAGTTTTCCAAAAGCATTTTCCAGTCCCACCACTATGAGAAAGCTAGCTGCTCCATGTTTATGTTTCCCCTTTCCTGCTTTCATTTGACTATTTGAACATTATTTAGTATTCTATTTTATATACTATGATTTCAACTATATCTTTTTGTATAATTTTTTAGTGGTTGCTCTAGGAATTATAAAATACATACTTTGCGTTGCCTATTTTGGGTCATTTCATTGTTTTACTGCTTCATTTGGCATGTAGAAACCTTATCAACCTTTCCCCTGCACCATATTTATTGTTGTCTTATATTTTATATTTACATACATTATATACTCCATCAGACATAATTTTTTTCAACCATCAATCATATTTTAAGGAAAAGAATAGCCTATTATATTTAACCAGATAGTTATCATTTCTGTTGCTGTCTCTTTATTCCTGATGTCTGAAATTTCCTTTTTATATCTTTTTCTTCTCTCTGAAGTGCATAGTTTATCAATTTTTTAAAGAGTAGGTCTGCGGCAGGAGGTGGCCGCAGCTACAGCACGAGCGTGGTCACGTGGCCGCTGGTCACCGCCACCACCCCCTCCAGCTGTGTTCTCTTTCAGGTTGGGCCGGGCCCTGCCGCTTCTGCAAGCGCCTGGCTGACTGAGGGAGACAGAGTAAGAGGAGGAGAGGAGGAGGAGGATTCAAGGAAGAGAAGCTGGGGAGCCCTTCTGCGCCACAGTGATATCAGTATCAAGATAAAAGTGTAGAATGGGAGAAAAATTCTCAAACCTGAAAGAAAATCTGGAGATGGTGTTTTTCCAGCAGCTCGGTTGAGGGAGAACTTGGCTTGTCTCTGTTTCTTGATTCCTCTTCAATTTCTGTTTCTTAACCAAGACTTGTGTTTGAAGAACTGTATTGTACTGAGCCTAAGTCATTTTTAATCTATAACAGGAACATGCATTTTCACATGTCAACCGGATTTGTGGACCAATAAATTTATCCCCAAAGAGATGGGGTCTCACTCTGTTATCCAGGCTGGAATATAGTGGCGCAATCATAGCCCATTGTAGCCTCCATCTCAAGGACTCAAGGGATCCTCCCTCCTAGGCCTCCCAAGTAGCTGGGATTACAGAGACAGGGTCGCACCATGTTACTCTGACTGGTCTTGAACTCCTGGCCTCAAGCAGTCCTCCCACCTTGGCCTCCCACTGTGCTGGGATTACAGAAATAGAAAAGCATATCCTTAAATTCATGTGGAATCTGAAGGGAGCTCAAATAGTCAATACAATACAGTCTTGAAACAGAAGAACAAAGCTTGAAGACTCACCTCTTCTGATTTTAAAACTGATTTTAAAACTTACTACAAAACTACAGTAATCAAATACAAAAAACAGTGTTGTACTAGCATAAGGAAGACATATAGACCAATGAAATAGAAGAGAGAGCCCAGAAATAAAACCTCATGTATATGGTCAAATGATTTTTTTCCTTTTTCTTTTTTTCTTTTTTTTTTTTTTGAGATGGAGCCTCACTCTGTCACCAGGCTGGTGTGCAGTGGCACGATCTCAGCTCACTGCAGCCTCTACCTCCCGGGTTCAAGCGATTCTTCTACCTCAGCCTCCCCAGTAGCTAGGATTACAGGCGCCCACCATCATGCCTGGCAAATTTTTGTATTTGTGGTAAAGACGGGGTTTCACCATGTTGGCCAGGATGTTCTCAATCTCTTAACCTTGTGATCTGCCCACCTCGGCCTCTGAAAGTGCTGGGATTACAGGTGTGAGCCACTGCGCCCAGCCGGTCAAATGATTTTTAACAAGAGTGCCAGGACTATTCAATGGAGAAAGGATAGTCTTTTCAACAAATGCTGCTGGGAAAATGGAATATCCACATGTAAAAAATGAGGTTGAACCCTTAACTAACACCATATACAAAAATTAACTCAAAATGGATCAAAGACATAAATGTAAGACCCAAAACTATAAAAGTCTTAGAAGAAAATAAGGAAAAAATTTTATGACAGTGATTTATTCGGCAGTTATTTGTTGGGTATGACATCAAAGACACAAACAACAACAACGTAGAGGACTATGTGAAAATTTTTAAACTTTGTTAATCAAAAGACACTGTCAATAGGGTGAAAAGACAACCACAGAATGGAGAAAGTATTTGCAAATTATATATCTGAAAAGGGTTATATAAAGCATATATGGAGAATTCCTACAACTCAACAACAAAACAAACAGCTTGATTTGAAAATGGGTGACTTGGAAAAACATTTCTCCAAGAAAATATGCAAATGGCAACAGGTAGACCAAAAGATGCTCAGCATCACTGATCATTAGGAAAATCCAA